CGCAGCTGCTCCAGGCTCTTCACCTGCCCCTGAAACAGGCCACTCCTCTGTTCTTCTCCAACTCTCTGAGGAGGGTGTTCCCCCACCAGCCTCTCTACTGTGCACCGGCACATGTTCGCGCTTGCTTTCTTCCCATCCATTCATCGACGACTGTGCCTACTCTGTCTGGGAACACCTCGAGGTCCTGTAAAGAAAGCCCTTTTGTGCTGATCTCAAGCCAGCTGATACATGTTGTCTGCAACTAAAGCCTTAATGATAAAAATATTCAGAGTGGGATTCTTCACTGAGTTGCATTTCCAGCCTTTCTTTTTGAGCGAGGATCTCACTAAATAGCTCAGGCTGACCTTGAATTTGTGATCCTTCTGCTTGAGCTTCTGGAGTAGCTGAGATTATATATGTGCACCACCATGGCTGGCTTTTCCGGGGTTTTTGTTGTTGCTGTTGTTGTTTTGCAAGAAAATAGGACCTTATATGCTGATAAGATGCTGATGCTGAGGTTTCTTGAGCACTTACAGTGCTAGGCACTGTTCTAGGCTCGAGTGATGTGGTTGTCTTCACAACAGCCCCATAAGGTCTGGACCATTTATGATGGCTGTTTTACAGATGAGAAAACAGAGGCATAGAAAAAGGTAAGTAATCTGCTCAAGGAGACAAAGTTGGAAGGTGGCAGAGCTCCCCAGCCCACAGCCCACATTCCCAGCCACTGTGGAAAGGGAGCATAAGGAGACAGTGTCTCACCTGTTACCATGGGGGTGGGACAAGCGAAGTTGAAAGAAGCCTCTAATGTGTTCTTGCTTTGAATCTTTTACAGTAAGAATTGTTCACACAGCAGGGTGTGTGGTGGTGCATGCCAGTAATTCCGGCACTCTGGGAAGTTGAGCCAGGAGAAGCACAAGTTCGAGCCCAGCCAGGGCAACTTAGTGAGACCCCCATCTCAAAATTAAAAACACTAGGGATGCAGCTCAGTATCAAAGCCCTGAGTTCAACTCCCAGCACCACTTCCCAACAAATTCATGTCTTATTTTTATTGTTTTATTTTTTCCAGTACCAGGGATTGATCTCAGGACCTTGCATTTGCAAGGCAGCCGCAGCACCACTGAGCTAAATCCCCAGCCCCCATGTATTACTTTTAGACAAAGCACCACTTTGACAGTGGTTAGACTTGAAGCAGCAGCTTATAAACCAAAAGCCATTGCAATGTAAACTCAACAGCAAGTGGGGTAGTTTTTTGTTGCCACCACCCAAGGACTTAACAGGAACTAGCTCCAAATCTTGCCAGGGTTTTCCTCCCTATTCTCCTACCATAACCTACTCCCCAGAGTCTGCTGTGATGGGGTGCGCAATGCTGGTTGCTTAAATCACAACAGCTGCTTATCTGGGTTCAAGGCAAACACCCGGGAGCACAGATTCTACACAATGTCCTTCAATGTGACGGGTTTTACATAGGATTCTTGTCATATCCACGCAGTCTTCAGACTGTGCTTTGGGTCTCTCTGTCCATCCACCCTGCCTAAATCTCTTATACAGTACTTTTCATTCTCCAGGATTGAAATAAGAGATATTTCTGTGGGTAACCTTGGTTACTCCACTTCTCTTGCCTTAGGTAAAACCTCCCGAATTCCCTTCCAGCAAGGCTCTCAAAGTCAGCCGTTGTCTTCCAAAGGTGGTCCCTCCTGTGTTTTCGGAAGGTACCCTGCTCAAAGGACCCTTCCTACTCAGCTTATTTGCTCTCTTCTCTGCATGCAGATGTTTTCATCCCTCCATTCAAGGGTCCCCATGGTGGGTTCTCCTCCTCTATCCTGTAATCTCTCCCCATCTTCTCACGCTCAGCCCCTCAACTCAAAGGCCCTCCCTACACATATTCTGAAATACTCTTAAGACTTATGGAAAAGCTGCAATAGTAAAATGAACATTCATATAACCTTCATCAAAATACTCCCAAATGTTAACAGTTCATTGCATTTGTGCACATCCCCACCACCCCATGTTTTTTTCTGGCCGTTTGGAGAGTAAGATAAACACAGGATGCCCCTTACTTCTAAGTACTTCAGTGTGCATTCCCTAAAAAAGACATTTTCCTAAATATCAGGTTAATCACCTAATCAGGAAATTAATACTGATAACACTATCATACAATCTATGGAATTTATTCAAATGTTGCCAGTTTTCCCAATCATGTCCTTTATAGAAAAGGGGAGGGGGAACAAAAAAATAAACAACTCAAGTTCGATCCCCGGTACCAAAAATAATAATAATAATAATAAATTTAAAAACACCTACAAAAAAACTACCTGGCCCACAGTGGGGATACAAGCTGGAGTGAGGGCCAGGGGTTTCAAGGGTGGTGGTTGCCAAATGGTATAAGCTGCTGGGAGTCAATTAAGTCTGCAGCCCCAAATCTACACCTCCAACAACCAAGTGTGCCCAAGAGCTGCCTCTTGCTGTAGACTGCAGAGGCCTGGGGGCTCCTGGCAAAGCTTCTCAAATGCCAGAAACAGATCCCTGGCCACCAAAAGGCCCTTCTCTATGGCCACTTCCCATTCTGAAAACGTCCTTTGTCCCTCTAGTCTCAAATTCTACTCTCCTTGAAATTGATCCCAGGCTCTCCAGTAGGTTGCCACATCCTAAGAAGCAGGACAGAAAGTGCATCAGGTGCACCTTGGGGCCAAATGGAAACAGCAAGAAATTTAGTTCACTCATTCAACACATTTATTGAGCGCCTTAGGTATACAGCCCATAAAGATAAAAAGACAAGGTCTCTATTCTTAGTAGGGGTAAAGGCTGAAGGTCAGAGCCAAAGATAAGCTCTACCAGGCTTTCACTTGCTCAGTCCTCTTCTGTTGCAAGGTATCCCCAAGTGTAGAGTGAATGAACCCCAAATGGTTGTCCAGTGTCACCCCTATGGGCTCGCTCCAGGCTCTGGGCTCCTTGGAACAATCAGGGGCTCCCAGAGGCAGGCAGAGTAGGCGCATTCTCATGTGCGGGCTGCAGTAACCCTCTCAGCTGATTGTGTCCAGGCAGGCGGGTCCAGGGGTGCATGAATGCCCCTGAATGGGCCCATTCAGCCTGATGGACAGGAGCTGAAAGCCGCATACACACAAAAGCCACTGGGCAGCCGGGAGGGCTGCAGCCCAGGTTTGCGCACGGGAAGGGAAGGCATCCAACCACAAAGACCAGTGTGAAGACTTCTCTCTGCTTTCAATGGCATCCTCTGGTTGCCAGCTATAGAGCACCACCCTCCCCCAGCAAAGGGTTGGCATCGCCGGACAAGTAGAGAAGGCTAGACTCACAGATTTATATCCAACAGACAAACCACTAAAGCCCTTGTGCTAATAGCAAGATGAGGAGGTAGGCCAAAGGAGCCAAAGGGCACCTCCCTGTGCCCATCTCGTCCATGTGTGGAACTGCATTCCTGACACCCACAGTGACCTTTAAGGACTCTGGCTGACCTGAGATTGTTTAACATGTCACCAAGAAAAATGACCTCCAAAGGGCATGGCCAATATTTAAATGAGGACTGGAGAGACCATGTTCTATTCTTGGGTCACTCATTTGGTATATTCTAGGAAGAAGAAGCGAAAAGAAAAGAAAAGCCCTGAAATGACATTTGTATTTTTAGCTAGACCCAGGAAGGGGGAGAACCACCCACCTGGAATTCTTTTAACTGCTTCAGGGGGAAGGGCAGGCTCCACCACTTACAGGAGCGGAGTGGGGAAGTCTATTTACACTGTTGCACACAAATATTTTAAGTTCACAGTCAGGTGGCTACCTCGGAAAGGATGACTCTCAGCTTCCGAGAGCACATTACTTTAGAAACAATCCCCTCAAAAGATAATTAAAGATAGCTCCTCCTCATAATGCAATGTGATAATGAGCAATTAAAATTAAATTAGCTTGTCATAATAAAAAAGATGGATTATGTTCTGAGGCTTCGAAACCCAGAGTTAGTAAGTTGTGGGGAGAAGTCTATGACCAAGAAGCAGTTTAACTAAGAAAATATGAAACGCCCTGGCCAATTTTCAGACCAAGATAACATGGGGTTCATTATAGTTTTTGTTTACGATTATATTATTTTCTAAAGAATGGAATATTTCAAGCAGATTTTTAAGAGGTCAGAGAAACACACCACAAACACCAATAAATCCATCATCTTAAATTCATAAATGTTAACATTTTGTCACATCTGCTTCAAGTCCAGGTTTTTGAAATGAAATAAAATATTCTGCCACCAGATGAAACTACCTGCCCTCCTTCTGCAAAACAGCCACATGTCCTTGTTTTCATAGGTTTGCCCTTGTTGGTGGGACACAAACAGAACGTAATATTGTTTTGTGTTTTCTTTCCCTTTTTATCCTGAAATAATTACAGTCCTAGGAAACTGAAAGGAAATGTACAAGGAAGACCCATGAACCCTTCACCCGGCCTCCTCCAAGGCTCATGTCATGCACAACCAGCTGGAGCACACCATCACAACCACAACGGCAAGGGCTGGGGTGTAGCTCAGTGGCATATCACCTGCCTGACAAGTGCAAGCCACTGAGTTCGATTCCCAGTACAAAAAACAAACAAACAAAAAACCAAAACCTGATAGTGACATTGGCACAACCCATAGGGCTAAGATACCTCACCAGTTTTAAAAGTGCCCATGACTATGTGTGTGATTTTATCACATGTGTAGCTTTGTGTCAACACCACAACTGAGATACTAAATCATACCATCTCCACAAAATGTCCTCATGCTATCCCTTTATAGCACACCTAGTCCTCATCCCCACCCCCTACTCCTAGCCTCTAGCAACCACTAATCTCTTCTTCCTCCCTATAATCTTGTTATTTCAAGAATGTCATATAGCTTGCCCTGGTGGCACAAGCCTGGAAGTCTAACTATCCTCTTGAGATTGAGGCAGAAGATCAAGAGTTCAAGGCCAGCCTGGGAAACACAGCAAGACCCTGCAACAACAACAACAAAGAATGTTATAGAAATGGAATAGTACAACATGTACCTTTTGGAGATTAGCTTTTTTATTCAGTACAATTTCCTTGAGGTTCATCGATATTGCTGAATATAGTCAATAGTTATAGTCCATGGTACAGATGTACCGGTTTGTTCAACCATTCACCACTAAAGAATATCTGGATCATTCCCAGTCTGTGGCAATTTTGGATAAAAGTGCTATGAACGCCAACATATGGAAGTTTCTTTGCACACTGTGAACATATGAGGAAGATCCTAGAAGAGCCAAAAAAGAAACTTTTTAAAGAATAAAGAAACATCTTTTCTCATGATACAGTTTACTATATAACTACAGTAATTGTGGCAGCGTGGGTTTGGCAGAGGGATACATCAACGGAATAAAATATAGAACTTGGAAGGTGCCCATACAAATACGCCCAGTTCATTGTTTATAAAGGTCCAAAAGCAATTTAGTGGCAAGGGATAGCCTTTTCAAGAAAGGGTGTTGGAATAATTGGACATCCATGGAAATAAATCAACCTCAACTACAACCATGTTATCTTATACAAAACCTACTCAAAATGGTCAATAAAACTATAAACTTATAGCAAAAATCATAGGGCACAGAGAGAGAGAGAGAGAGAGAGAGAGAGAGAGAGAGATCTAAGTTCTGTAATTCACAGACCAAGAGTCTCTTTCCTTAATATCTCCCCTTCCAATCTGTCCCAGATGACAGAAATTCCACTATTAGATAGTCATATCTTTGGATTAAGGGATTGTCAAGAAAATTCTCTTGGAAGAGTTATGAATCTTGAGATGAATCTGAGTGGGCAGCTGAGAAGAGGGTGTCTGGAACAAAATGAAATAAAAAGGGCAAAGCACTTGGAGAATAAAGGTGGGTGGAAGGGACAGAAGAAAAGATGACAGTCTAACAATTTCTACCTACTTGACAACATCAAGGTCAGTTCTTCCAAAACAGTTCAGCATCTGGTGGGTTGGGGTTGAGGAGTGTCTCCCGAACCAACCCAGCCAGCATGCACCGACATTTATACAAGGTTTTCCATGTGTAAAGAAGAGAGTTTACACAGATGTAAGAATGTGGGGATTTGCTGCTGCCCATATTTCCTCATTAGTATAGTATAAATCTAGCTCAAAACAAAGAAATCGTATTCCAAGCAGGATAATAATGTGGAAAAGATAATTATTACTTACCTAATATTTTCCTTCCTGGGTTTATGATTTGTTTTACATAGATGTTTTATGAAGTACTCAGGCAAATTCCTTCTTGGGACTCATTGTAACCCTGTGTGTACCGTGGGTGAAGAATGGAGTATTCTTGTTACAGATGCATTGGGCAATCACCAACTTGCAACCAATCAACAAGTGGTTTGAACCCTAAAACTTTGTAGAAATAAATTTATCATCTATGCTAATTCAGAAGACACGATGGGAGTCATGTGGTCATGGTGATCTTATTTCCCAAATTATTTGTGTCCCATAATATGAGGATTATACGGGCCGGGAATTTAGCCCAGTGGTTTCGTCGCCTGCTGTGCAAGCGCAAGGACCCGAGTTCAAATCCTGGCACCAAAACAAACAAACAAACAAAATGAGGATTATGTAACACAGAAATAACAAGAATGAAACTATAATTGCTTGCTTGTCCCATCCGGGTGGGATGGGCACAGAGGATGTGCCAGCTCTGCACAGTGCCCGCTGACAACAAGGCAGAGCCACAGCAGCTCACAGAGCACCCTCAGCACTTGCCAAGTACCTCAAAAACATCCCTTCCATTCACTCCTGACTGGGAGGGAAACTCAAATCTCTTGGCATCCGAGGATATAAGCCTTAAGTTCAATGCAGCAACAGAGGGTACAAACAGACAAGCAGGCAGAACCTCAACCTACACAGTCTATGCATACAATGTGGCCATCCAGGCTGATCCTCTCCTATCAGCTAGTCACAAAATCCCTCCCCAGACCATGAGCTGCTGCTTCCTCAGAGGCCCCAACCCCAGGCCAGGGGCTGACACAACTGCCATGTAGTGCTTCAGACCATCACTCAGCCTGGACAACCCCCTCTGGAGCTAGGGCAACTCTGGGCCCAGAGGGCTCCTGCCAGGTGTCCTGGCTGCCCCATGGTCAAGTGGGAGGGCTGGATCATCTGACACCTGTGTGAGACTGACTCTGCTTGTGTGACCCCAGGCAACTTCCTTCAACTTTCTGTAGTTCCAGTCCCTGGGCACAGATTTCTTCCTGTGTTTCTATGCTGGCCCAGTACAGTGGGTGCAGAGCACCAGCTATTGTTATGACCTTGCAGGGTATTACCTGTGCCCACTTGCCTGAAGCTGGTATCTTGGGCATCTCGAAGTTCCACTCCTGAGTAACATGAAATTCTTTATCAGGGATTCTGAACAGTAGAAGAAAACGTACTCCAGATGTGGAGCCAGAGAACCGACACTCCGGCAGAATCTGACTTTGAACTCTGCTGTGAGGCCTTGAGGAAGACCTGCAACCTCACTGAGGTGTTTCCTCATTTCTGAACTAGCAGATTGATGGTGGGAGGCTTTGCCTTACAGGGGTGCTGTGAGAATAAGAAAGGATAACTCACGAAGGCCCAGCCCACTTGGCTGGAGCAGGAGCTCATGGGCCAAAGCCAACAGGAGGCAGAAGCTCAACCATTTAGGCCACATGTACAATGAGGACCAGGCTTCCCGCCATGGCAGGCTCAGGCAGAATAGCACACAGAACCAGGCCTTTAAAGGGCAGAAGTGTGGTAATTGGGAGCCGCCCACGCCCCTTCCCACTCCTGCACCAGGGAACATCACAGAGCCACCATCTCCATCCAAGCACAACGGCATCTGCAGGGAGAGGGTTCTAGGGCTGCAGCCTCACTGCTACATAACTTGAGGGCAGGCCATGACAGCAGGAGACTGATGAGGTTCTGTTCTGCCAGTTCTCTGGGTAAGGAACCTGGCTTCCACTCTTTCTGCTCCAGGCTGGAGTTGCAAACAAACTCTTCACAATCACCATCACGTAGACACCTGAACCACGAGGACTGCAGACCTTTGTCCTGCAAGTTGGCTCTAAATTTGGCTCTTGTCTCCTGATTTCCATCTAATACCCAATGTGGGTATGAGCCACCAAATTCTAAAACTGCCTCTGGGTCATCTGAACCACAGGATCCCACAATCCTTAGACAAACCCCACTTCCTGAAACACTGCCTCTGCCTGTCGGTGCCGTGCTCCCTCCTCCTTCTGACCACCACATCTTACCTGGCCTTCAAAGCTTGGCTGAAGATCCACTCCACAGAAGGGGCCCTTCTGGATCTCTTAGAGGGTCACTTCCTATTTCTCCCAGTTCAATTTCTCTCCCTAACACATTTCCTCAATGCGAAATCTGCCAAACTCCATGTGAAGAGTTCTGGTGGCTGCACGCCCCAAGATGTTGATTCAAAAATCGACCTCACTTCATCTAACTTCTGCTTAGGCCTTGTCCTCCCTCTGGAACTACACCTGACATCAATTCTATTCCCACAACCACAGCCCACTTTTACAAAAGCCTTGGGGGCCAACATGCTCCAGGGCCTTACACCTTCTTTAAAACCAAGGCCTTCAGGCTATCATCTGTTTGCCTAAGTCCTACTGAAACTGTAGCTCACTGAGCTGGGCCTGAAGCTCCAGAAGTGAGGTGTGCAGCTCAGAATTACTGGGGACTCCATAACTCAACCACTGGCCAATATATTTGTAGTCCTCACTGAACCTTCATTTATTTTATCTGGGTTGCTTTTGCGTCAACAACTAAATGAGGGGCTGAGCTAAAGTTCAGTGGTTCCGTCGCCTGTCTCACAAGCACAAGGTCACGAGTTTGATCCCCGGCACACACACACAAAAAAACAACTAAATGAGTTCATGGTAAATGGCCCGCAGTCACGTAGTCTTGCATCCTTCATAGTGCTGGGCACAGCCATAAACAATTACCTGCTGCTTCATCTACTGATTTTCCCCAAATCAGGGCTGCACCACATGACATGCCTGTTCACCATGGTTAAGACTCTAAATAAACACTACTGCCCTATTCAAGCACGTAGAGTTATAGGCTCTGAAAGTCACAAGCCAACAATGATGAAGAAAGACACCAAGAGGGAACTGGAAGCACCAGAAACAAAGTCCATAATGTACAATTATTTCACTACTACTTGCAGCATTGTTCCCTAGGCCTATGATAAAACAGCTGGACTAGGGTTATGATGGACCAACCATTCTATGAACTTAAGTCTCTAACAACACTAAACTCACATAACAGAACAAGTTGGACATTCAGTAATAACCTCCATTTATGGTCTGCCTGCCCCTTGAAAGGCATTCACGCTTATTAAAAAATAAAATCCTTGGCTGATTTTTTTTTTCTATCAGTTTGTAATGCATTTTGAAATTTAGTATTTTAGGTGGTGACCTGGTTGAACCAGGCTCTGTGCTGCCCTTTGTAAGTGGCAGAGACAGTGCCATGCTGTTGTCTTTCTGGGTATACAAGATGACTACATTTCTCAAGCTCCACTGGAGGGGGCCAACTTATGCTCTCTGCACTGTCTCACTCCTAGGGAACTATGAAACCTTAAAGCAAAGTGTGTCCTCTGGACCAAAGCATCAGCATCACCTGGGAACTGTTAGCAATGTAGATTCTCAGGCCCTCCATTGTGGAGGGAGAGCCTAGCAGCCCATTTTAAACTCAAAGTGGGAACCACTGCTCTCGAGATGGTAGAGCTCCTGGATAGAAAGACCTGGCTCCCTAAATGAACAGAGGAGTGCTACTGAGCACTTGAAATTGGACTGTGATGTGAGAAATAAACTTGCATTGTGTTAAGCCATTTTGGGAATTCTGTTCAGACTGAAATAATAACCATCACTGGCCTCAGATCTAGGTTATTCATTACAGTTATTTCCCACTCAGAGTTTTTCCCGTCATCAAAGGCTGGAGTGTAGTGAGCCAGGGCTATTCTATCCTGGCTAAGAGGACCAGTTCAGGAACCCTTGTTACCCACCTCTGTCATTTGTTCACAGCCTGGGTGGTATGTTAACAATGGGCAAAGGAGAAGTCACCAGGAGCCAGGATGAGATAGCAGCCAGCTTCTGGTGTTAACACATTCCTGTGCCCTCAGCCTCTGGGCACCGGCCTAGGGAGCCTGCCGAATTTCAGCTGAGGGTATCCAGGGCCTGCATCTAGATCTTAATTCCTGGAGGGTGCGTGTCAGGGACCCTGAGCCTACAGCTCTCTCAGTTCAAAGCTGTGGCTGCAGCACCAATCATGTCTCAAGCTATATGAGAGGCTTGGACATCCGCCTGTCCAGCTGACTGGCAAGTTCAGCTCCAAGGGCCTCGTTCTCCCCCTGCCACCCTTCCCTTTCCTTTCCACTAAAATCTCACTTACTCCTCTGGGTCCTCAACCCATCCTGCCTTCCTCCTCATCCACTGACCGCTCCTTTTCTCTGTTCTTTGGCACTCTACACCTGAGACTCCCGGTGCAGCCTTAGACACCATAGAACCTTCCCCACAGAGCTTAACTATTGTACACAAAGCTCAGTGTCTTGGCTTCAGACACAAGATACTCAGTGAACTGGCACCCACCAGATGCCTGCTTAGGGAACGTCACGTGAGGAGCCGGGGGGTAGGGGGCAGGCATCACCCAGATGAGCATCCTGGAAGATGTCCCATGAGACTGCAGAGCTGCCCCAGGGACTGACGATCTTAAGACTTCAGACACAGACAGCGACCAGTCACCTCTGGGGTTACAGTTTGGCCTCAGACCTTCTCCTCCAAGTAGAATTCCCCTCCCTTTGCTCCAGCCAGCCTCTTGCTCTCTGGGATTATTCAGACTCAAAAACCAATGCTTCCCCTCTGCTCCAGGAACTGCAGTATGGAAACTCTGTGTCCCCCAGGTTCATTTTCCCCTGAGCTATTTATTCCCTTTTGTCATGGTCCCAAGCAACCAGACCCAGGCCCAGCACAGGGGCACACACAAGAACCTCCTTCTACCTTGCAAAACAGTGCCTTGCCCGGGAGCTATTTAAATGCCATGGTGTACTAACTTACACCTAGTTTTTGGCTGCACACCAAACTGGACCAGGAATCCAGGAATGTATTTCCTCCCCACCCCGCAAGCCATGTAGGACGGGTCTGCTCACTGACCTCCCTCTTTTTTTTTTTTGACCTCCCCCTCTTTTGTAAGTCTCTTCCCTAAGACCCCCAAAGAATTCCCAAGTCAGGCAGGCCCACAGGGCAGCTGGCTGCAGAGGTCTAGGAAACCTGAAACCACGAGCCTCTCGACTTCCCCTGTAAGTGCAGAGAAGCAGCTGACTGTCCTGGTCAGCAGAGTTACACAGGCCGCCAGGGCTGGGTGGGGGATGGGGTGGTGTTTGGGCCCTTTGCAAGCTATTTGCTGGTTATGTGATGTTGGGCAAATCAGGCTACATCAGGGCACCTCAGTTTCCATACCTGTAAAATAAGGCTAATAATAGGTACCTACCTCCTAGGACTGCTATAGATTTCATGAGAGTAAACACAGACCCTGGAACAGAGCC